TGCCGGCAGGCGAGCGGAGCTGCCGCTGGCGCCGTGGCCGTAAGGCCGCGTGTGTTAAAACTGCCGCGTTTCTCCTTCCTCTGCCCACAGCGCCGGCGTCCTGCGGGAGCCCGTGTCCCTGGGGCAGTGCGAGCACGTCTTCTGCCTGTAAGTAGCGTGGTGCCGCGGGGCTCGGCCGCCCCGCCGCCCTCGCCGGGCCACCGGCGCTGTGATGGGCCCTCCGAGGTCGCCGTCCTCCTTGCTGCCGCGCTTTGGAGCAAGGGCTGGCGCCTTAGGGAGGTGGGCACCGGTGGTGCTTTCCGGCTGGGGAGAGGAAAGCGGGTGCTGCTGTCCCCCAGTAGGTCCAGCTCACTGCTCTGGGGCGGGTGTGTGGCTTGCTAGAGCGAAGGCCTGGCTTTGTGAGTGCTGGGTAGACTTCAGGGTGTTGGCCAGGTGTAAAATGAACACTCAGTCTGATGGGGGGTGGTGGTGGTGTCCAGTTGTGGGGTTGGAGAAGAAAACAGTTTCCAGTTCTTACTGTCGTCTCCCAACTCTTTCCTCTTCCTTCAAAACAAACTAAGAGCAGCCTGGAAAGATGCATCCTATTTCCAAGGGGGCTTTGCTCTGCTTGAGAGGGTTGGGTGCTGCTTGTCATCGTTTTGGCTTTCTGCTATGCTAATGCATTTGCTCCTTCAGATCTGCCACTGTATCTGTTCCTGTATTCGTGTCCATCCGAACGTGTTGGGATAGCATGAGCGCCTCTGTTTATAGCTTGTCAAATAATCTGTGTTAAGTTAGAAACATCCTACTAATGAAGCTGGTCTGAGGCGGTGTTAGTTACTTGGCCTGTCTTAGGACAACTCACTGCACTGTTGGTACAGGCAGAGTCTTAAATGTTCCTGCCCTAGAACCTGATTTGTGGAAGGTGGTGGAGGCTGTCCTGTATGTCACTGCTCTTCATGGCATACAAATGCAAACACAGGCAGTTAAAGTCGGTCATATATCTTAAAGAGTTTATCTGCACAGCACAGATGTGAGCTGTCTAGGAAAATCCTGTGCTTGTTACAGTGGAGAGGATAGGCACTTTCTAGCCTCTGCTTGTAAGCCAGTCTAGATATTCAGCTTCACCTCTTGTTAGTACTGCAGTCACTATGTCAATAAAAGCAGAGGAAAACCCTCCGTCCCTCCTGGGTGTGTATTTAATTCCTGTCTTCAGCTGCACCTTTCTAATGGGAGCTTAAAGTGTTGAAGGCCTGAAGAGTAAAATACCAGCTAAAAGATTTCCTTGCTTTTTAAGAAGTAACGGATTATGGGACAGATGCCCTCAGCATCTCTTCCACCCAGTATGGATGTATTAAAAGATGTACATGTGACTTATTATCCAGACATGTTTGTTTTTTTTTCCCAGCTTTGACCATGAATTGCTGTATCCTGAATTGCTGAATTCTGCTGTCTGAAGCAAATTTTTTGTTACTTGTTCTATTTTTATTACATGTGCACAGATTACTTCGTAAAATAACCCCCAGAAGCTTGTAGGAGTTATTTGTAAATATCATAGAATAGTTAGAGTTGGAAGGGATCTTAAAGATCATCTGCCATGGGCAGGGACACCTCCCACCAGACCAGGTTGCTCAAAGCCCCATCCAGCCTGGCCTTGAACACCTCCAGGGATGGGGCATCCATGACGTCTCTGGGCAACCTGTTCCAGTGCCTCACCACCCTCGTAGTAAAAAATTTCTTCCTAATATTTAACCTAAATCTACCCTCTTTCAGTTTAAAACCATTACCCCTAATCCTATTGCTACACTCCCTGGTAAAAAGTCCCTCTCCACCTTTCCTGTAGGCCCCCTTTATGTAAGGTCTCCCCGGAGCCTTCTCCTCTCCGGGCTGAATATGTTTGTACCTATCTAATAAAATGTTGGGGGTTTTTTTTGTTTTGTTTCAGGGTTGTTTTTTTTTTTCTTCTCAGGTGTAGTGTAGATTGCTGAAGGCTAGCGTAAGGGTGACTTAATAAACATAATTGTTTAGTTGTCAGGCATCTAAGACTTTGTGGTTTTATTTTGGATAAATGTAGTGTATTCTAGGTGGTAGATTTCAAATGTACTGTTTGTTGAAGTGTTGTTTTTTTTAAGAAACATTTTCAAGACATAAGGATATGGTGCGTTTTGCATTGATGAGGCTGGAAAGAATAGTCAATAGGAGTCTTAAGCATTCATTAGCAGCTACTTCTTACTCCAGAAAAAGAGTTTATTTGCTATTACCCAACTTATTGTTATATCTGATCTTTTCTCCTTTGTGTGCCTGGACTTTTAGTCGTCAATTTAATGTGTACTTTGATGACTGAGTCTTGGATAGTGGCTATTTTTTTTAATAAAACTAAGGAAATTTAGATTAAGTTGTTTACATGCAAATTTGGTGGGGCATGGATTGAATCTGCAGTATTCTGACATGAACTGATTCTCATCCATTGCCAAGACGGACATTTATTAATATACCTGGGAAGGAGTGAGGTGAATGGCTGGAGCTGGCTGCAATGTACTGCAATAATCAGGTCACACATAATGTCATGGGTCCTCCCTCAGCATGGGTTTTATTAGGGCAGGGACATTTACTAAGATCAGTTTCTGCAGTTTTGCCTGAGTAACTCTACTAAGTTAGTTATAGTTAATAGATAATGACTGTAAAAACCCAACAGCTAGAAGTAATTCAGAAATGTCATGGTATAAAAGTCATTCTGCATTTCCTTTGCACTACCTTTTACAGATGTGGGAGACCTGAGGCCAACTTTCCGAGAGAACAAGACCTGATGGTTCTTATCTTTGCTCCAAGTGATTTGTCACTGTCATCGAGAATATGTCAGAGCCAAGAACTGTAGTTCAGTCTCCCGATCATAGCAGTGTCTCAACTGTGAGGTCCTTTACTCGCTCAGAGCAGGCTGTTAAAAGCACAAAACACACCTAGCAGCAATTTTTACATACCAAATTTCGTGCCTTGGAACTACCTGAAGGCATGATACTTGTGTGGTGTTTGAGGGAGAGATGCCAGTGCAGAGAACAGATCTGAAAATAACTCTCCTCTTCAGGAAGGTGGTGGTAGCTATTCTTCTGGTATTGTTAACTAATGTGCTGCTAGTTTTGGGGTGTATGACTGCAGCTTCCAAGCTGAATATACGTTTAGAGTATAGGTGCATAGACTTTGATCTTCCTCTCCAGGTAGTGCTGCCTTGGTATTACTGACATTCTGTTCCTCTGAATGTTTAACATGATCTGCTCGCATTTAATTTTATACCTTTGGCTAGAATTGTGTGTGCTACGTGGTTGTAAGGTAACAAAGAATTTTTAAATTAATTCAGTCGTGAATATGTGAAATTCTAACATATATTTAATAGGATAGGTTGTAATTTGAGAAGTAACAATGTCCCTTGAATGTTGCAGTTCAGATAGCAAATCATAAGGTCATCTCACTGGACTAATCAAATGAAGAAAGATTTTAGGCTCGTATAGGGAAAGTAGAAGTACTAAGAAGTTACAAGTCTTAAATGACCTTTACTAAGTAAATCTGTTCCCACGTCACACCCCACCTTGATCATCTCCTGACATAAGTGCTCTGAAAGAGAAAAGTGATGGAATACTCTGAATACCTGCAGATCCTCATGGGAATTCTGACAGAAAAAGTGTTCAGACAGGTGAAACTTCACAATATCAAGAACATTTTAAGTAGGAAAAACTGAAAATGATAGTTTACTATGGGGTGGCTTTCTGTCATCTTTAAAAATGAAGGCTGCAGAAGAATAGCCCTATCTTTAGCTGAGGTGTAAAAGAACATGGAGTTTTAACTGTTTGAGCCTAATTGTTATCTGGAGACAAACAGCAACGGAGCTTTAGCATACCTTGGAAGTTTGGATCAGCTTGTGAGTCTGTGGGAGTCCCAAGATACCCCGTCTTTCATGACTGTCCTGACAAGGCTTTGGTCTTGGCTTGCTTAATTATGGCTTCTCACTTTCCATGATAAATATGTCCTCTCCTGCATTTGTGACTAACTCATGTGAGCTTTGCAATAGCTGTTTGTCAGTGCTGAAATAAGAGATTCTTGCTGAACATTTGACTCTGAAAAGGTTGATAGCGAGCACAGTAGATAACTTATGCTGGATAATGGATTTTTACATTTGACTTTTCCAGATCTTGCGTGAGTGACTGTGTTGGCACAGAATGCCCAGTTTGCCACGTGCCAGCCTGGGTGCAAGATGCTCAGATAAACCGGCAACTAGATAACATGATTCAGCTTTGCAGCAAACTGCGGCATCTGCTGGGTGCGGACACCTCAGGTAAGAGCAAACCTGGGTCTCTGACAGCCATTGAATCCAGACCGCTCCGTTTCATTTCATGGGCTTTATAGACAATGAGCCGTGCAGCCCTGTTTAAGATTCTGAAAGGCTGTTCCGAATCATGTTTGGAAAATTTGATTTGAAGAGAACTGTCTGTATGGATTGCTCGTTCTTTGAATCTGTTTTACTAAGAAATCTGCATGAGCGGGTTGGTTCATAATTCATTAGAATCTGTCTTCCAAAATTAGATGAAAGTGAGATACATTCCCAGGTCACGTGGCAGTTAGTTGCATGAATCAGGGGCACAAGTTGTCATTTTTTGTGCTCTTAGGAGAGCACAACTGTGTAATATTCTGCAGTGCACACTTTAGAGAGACCCTGTTAAAGGATAAATGCATATATTCTCTTGCCTCTTGTGTATTTGTGCACTGGGGTGTGCATGCTGTCCCAGTAATTTTCAGTTTAGGGTTTTTGCACAGGGAAAAAAATATCTGTGTTCTTTGCCTAAAAGGGGGAGGGGGTAAGTCTTAACTCATTTATTTTCTGGTCCCTAACAATCAAAACAAGTTTGCTACAGTGGAATTTAGTCATTGCTGACTGTGCTAGAAGATTACAGAGGTCGTACTCAAGGAATTCATCTCTTTATCAAATTTTAGGCTGATTGTCAAAGTAGGAAAAAATGAAGTGAAATGAGCATAGGTGAGCGTATGCCTCTTCAGCAAGCCCAGAGAGGAGCATTTATGTAATACCAAGTTTTAGAAAACATTCATTTAGCTGTCAGATATAGAAAAGGTAATTCTTCCTTCATTGTTGCTTCCTAATATGTTTGTCTAAATTAAAGATTCTTTTTCTAAGTCTAATCCCATCGGCACCTTTGTGTTCATTTATGGGGTAGCTCTTCAGTGTCATCAAAACCACACTGAAGTGAGAAGGCTGGAAGCTTATGTCCAACTGTAAGGGAATACATTTTGTATAGATATAAAATCCTATGGTGATAAAATCTTCTGGAGCCTAGAAAATGGTGGCTTAAATAGGGTTTCAGGGAAACATTTTAAGTGGTGAAGGCTTTTAAAAACATAGTTGGAGGAGAATCTCTGAGAGGAGCTATTTGTGATGCTGTAAATAAAGCATTTAAAATACAACATGGCAGTATTATTGATACTGTTTAGACATTTTAGAGAACTCTTACAGATGGATTAACTCTTAAAAATTAGTCTGATATTTAACTTTACTACAAGTTGGATAATACATTTAATCTCATAGTTTTTTCTGAAGTAAAGTTTGCATGGTGTGGCTAAACCACAGAAGAAAATGAGGTGGTTTTTATCATTCCTTTTCTGACTTAAAAGCAGACACAAAATTGAAGTTTACAAGAGCGTTTTATTTGGAGCTAAGGTTATGAACTGATGTGGGAGATTGCTTTCCATCACTTGTAGTCTTTGCCCTGTGCTAATGATTAATGGCCTTTTGAATATTTCATACTGAGGTTGAGGGAAAAACGTCATGAGTTGGTGGTAGTTCACTGTCAGGAATGTTTTGGATACATAAGTAAATGAGTACATCTCTAACAACAGGCAATTATGTGTTGTACTATGGCAAATCACAGGATGCTGTAGCTTTAGAGCTAGATTTTAGAACTAGATGCTGTAGATTTTGAGGCGAATCCTTTATGACGTTTTGTCAGTTATCTCTGGCAAATCGTCCCATAGATGTATGTCTTGAACTAATGTATGCAAACTGAAATATGCTTGAATTTGAGAATTGGGGCCTTTCTTATCAAGGAGTTGCTTTCATGTTCTTGTGGCACTGTATTTCTGCCACTTTCCTGACAAGAATATATTCTTTTGTTTTTTGTTAGAAGGTCAGAAATTGTATTTTATGTTCCAGTAAAGGAAACGGACCGAAAAAATCAATCTTTCTGTAGAGAAAAAGAAGAGAAGTAATTGAAAAAGGAATCTTTCCATGTATTTGTTTTGTCTTTTGCATATTTGTTTTCTCTGCCTTGTTTTGAGACAATTGTGGCTTGTCTCAAGGATTCTGTTTGAGATCCTTGTTAACACTGAAGTTTCTAATGCAAATGCATCATATTACCCATTTTTTAACCTTGGGCAGACCTAGTGAACACAGTAAGTTGTGTGTATTGTCTTTAAAAATGCACAGAACTACTATGACTGAAAAGGATAGGGTTAAACTCACGTGTTAGGTAGTTCAAGTATAAAAATCCTTGTACCCCCAGGTTTGACGGTGGATATGAGGGGGATCTCACTTTGTACTCTACTGGGATAAGGATAGTTTTTTGCCAAACTATGCCTGTGTTTTAAGAAGCAACACCAAGTAATTCAGGAAAGACTGCACAAACCAGCTAATGTTTTCCTTTTAAATTCAAGGGAAGCACAGCAAATGACACTACAGAATAGTACTGGGAGAACTGAAGGGGAATTGGCAAACAACAAACCTGAAATTATCTACAAAACACAAGCTATAGGGAGCAAATGCTGTCTCAAAACTAACTTACTTGTTAAGAGTTGTTACAACCTCAGTCTGTGGCAAGGTGAGGAGAGCTATCTGGCCTTTTTGCTGCCTAGTGTTGTACCTTTACAAGGGTAATGGGAAGCTATCTGGCTGGCAGGCTTTGTAGATGGGATGTCTGCAACCTCAAAATCTTTAGCTATAATGTTGCAGAGTCCGGGACATCTTGAGAATTGGAATTGATGGGATGACAGGCTTCATAGGTGGGTAATAAATACGAACTTGTTGAGTCATGGACATAGTGTATATAGTATACTAGAGATGAAGAAGGTTGATTTACAATAATGACTTTGAAAGTGAATTTCTAAATACTTCAGCAGATTTTTCTGTTATGTTCTTTAAAAAGAAGAGATTGAGGTAAATGTTTGCAACAACTATTTATAGATGATTTTACCTTATTCTTTGTGGCATAATCTGCTTTGCTCTAACAGTCAAAAAGAAAGCCTTTCTCTCCCCTTTTCATACAGAGCTAGACTTTGCAGGTGTTGGTCAGAGCTTCCTAAGCAAATGTTGATGCTGGTGGACAGTAAGAGAGATTAACTTTTGATTAGCCTTTATAGTATCATAATTTAGTTTCGCATTTACTGATGTGGAGGGAAAGACGTTGAGCTCCTATTGTAACAGATTACATTGCATTTCATGTATGCTATGACATTTTTCATAATAGCTAAAGATGAGTTTCTGAATAGCTGGAATTTCTCCCTTTTTCCCCCCGTGTTGAATACTTAACTTGCAAAATAATCATTCTTCAGCGAAGGCACTAATGTTGCACAGATGGTACCAAAGCACTTCCCTTTGATTTTTAATAAGGGACTAGTTTGTCAAAGAGATTTCTCAACTTCTGTTCTGAAACCCATAATAGAGAATAATTTGAAAGGCACACAATGTGCATCATTATATTCCTTTGATGCAGATTAATGATAGCTAAACCACATTTTCTAATTGCTCCTTTTTTTTTTTTCGGCTCTAGTCTGTTATTGCACTACAGCAGAACTTGGAGATGTAGCTCTCTAGTTGCAAGGCACTGCGTATCTCTTAATATTTTTGTCTACTCTCAACCCTTTTAACACTTAAGAAATGAAACTCTATTAAACGTCAGCATTAAGAAACTTGTGCTTATTATGTGCAAATAAATCTAATTTAGAAAGAATTCAGTTAATATATTGTGTATATGAATGTTATGTTTAATAGGTGATGGAGAGTAAATTTACAACATTTATTATAGGCTGATTCAAATACTGTTATTGTGGATAGTCTTTACACTATTGTAAATGCTTAAAATCTAGAATTAGTAAGGCATGCTTTATTAAGTTTTGGGAGGATACTTCTTACGTATTAGAAAGACAATTAAATCTTAATCGTACACAGTAATTTTTTCATTCCTGTTGAGATGCAAGCTCTGACTTCCAACTTGGAGACAGCAAAAAATTCCTTTGGATCGATCTTTCTTTGAGCAGTTTTCTCCAAAGGTAGTTTAATTGAATGCACTTAGCTACCAGGTATTGCCCTCTTTATATAAATTAACATTTACATATTAAACCGTAAGATTTTCCTTTCAGTTCCTTAGCATCGTGTCTCTACGCGCTTTCTCTCTCCCTCTCACAGCTCTAGGTCCATCAAAGAATTAGATTTTCAGGGAGGGTTGATTGGCTATTTGTCCTTATCACTTCCACTCTCTACCTTGTACTCTTTGGAAATGGAGGAAAGGGGCGGCAGAGTCTAAGAATAATGTTTTTTGCAGATGATCTGCAGAATTGTTCAGGTCAAGTTGATGTTAGCTACACAGTGTTCTGAAGGATGGAGTTATTGAAGAATCGCTGAGAGACTACACACACTCTGGCAGAAATTGCTGTTTCCTCCCCAGTAGGCTATGGAGATGCCCTGGGTGTGGGTGGCTGGTCTCTCAATGTGACAGATCTCTTTAACAGTAGGCATGGCCTTATAATCACGGTCTGCGAGTGCCTCCCTGTCCTAAAACACGCAACATACTTTTTTACACCTGAAGTAGTTGCACGTGAGTCAACACAATCCTGGGAAAGTATTTATTTGGTGTATTTTCAGCAGGTTTTTAATAACCTGACTAGTAAGTCTCTGCTGACCAACCAGTAATGAGCAGATCAGTTTAAGAACTCTCGTGGTTTATTTTTCACAAGCTTTCTTGCTGCCAGAAGTAGTATATACATAGCTTCCAGTGTAAATACTTAATTGTGTTATGCTGCTTTAGATCCCACTTCTGAAGGACAGTGCCTTTGATTGAATTTGTCACTTGGAATTCAAAGTCTTATTGTGCTATACACATCAAAAAGAATTCTGGACATCACAAAATTGTCACACAAATTACTTTTGCAAGCTGATTTTATTCTTTTTACTTGGAGATGACTGATAGTTCTAGCAAGGTAAATATTTTAGAAGGAAATCTGCTAGTTGTGTAAACAGCAAAGGCAAGACAAGTAAATAGTAACTGTTTTATATTTTGCATCTGTTTGCAATCAAGCTCTTCCTTTTTTTAGATGTTTTTGTCAGAATGAAATTGGATATGATATCTTTCTGAAGGCTAGCTAGTTATGAGATTTCAGTGTCAATTTCTGTGCTTTTTTTCCTATTTGCACCAAGCTCAGCCCTACAGGAAAACCAAATAGCTGCAGCTTTGTACTTGATGATTGTCTTTAGATACCTAAATGATTGATTAGCTAGCCTCAAGCTCTAAAGACACTTTTGGTCTGATGCCTTACACATTACTCCAGCTAAATCTCTTAATATCTAGCATATTTTAATTCAAGGGGTAAGTAGGGTAATTTAGATCAAGATTGGGGAAACATTTAACTTTACAATATTGCTTTAAAAGAAAACTGCAAATGTCTATTTTGGTGTTGAATTACTAGCTATATATACAGTTCTGGTTTAAGTGACATTTTAGACTTCTTTTTTTTGTGGCTGAGGGATTGCGGCTAGTTTGTCTGCTGTCTGTGAGTTTATCCCACCTTGCTGTGGAAAACAGGCTATTGTTACTAACACCAAAATAGAATAGAAAATTAATGCACTGAAGTGAAAGTAATACATTGTTACAGTGAGGTCTGTCTTTCACTTTTAATAATCAAGACTTTTTATAGTTTATTTCAAGAGTGTTTAAAAAAACCCTGCTAATCTTGGTCTTAGTTCTGTTTAAAAATAATAATAGCCATACCCTGCTTGCCTTGCTAGGCAAAATTAATTTTGGTTTTGTGATTGATTGCTATAAATCACCAAGACACTTGTGAATGGTAGTTTAGTCCCTGAGGTTGGAGGCAACAGAGAGAATGAGTTGTGCATTTACTTTGGAGGACTTGTCCAAGTAACCTAGAATAACTTAGTTTCCAAGAAGGAATCTGTAAAAAAAATCTGATATAATTCTTTTGCACTGAAAGAGTCATTGTCAAATAAAATTATTGTCTTAACTTAGAGGTCACTTTATGCTCCCTAATTGATTCTTAAGCCATGAGGACACCATTTATAGTCCTTGTTCTTAACTGTGATTTCATGCATTGGGAGTACAGGATATTCCTCTGTCATCTTGGTTATTGATTTGTAATATGCTGCACCATGTCACTTATAAAATTGCTCCACTGCATATTTTTAAAGAAATGTTTGAGATCATCAAAATATGTAGCTTCTTTGGAATTATTTACTACCAAGGGGTAAAGGATCAAATGACAGGACACAATTACTTACAGATTTTCCATATATTGCTCTGATTAATCTGCTGTATCTGTGGAATCAGTCAACATTTGTCAGGAGTGTTCAACATTCTTATAAGGATGTTATAAGATGTTATGAGGATGCTTACTTGCAGTTATTCTTCCTGTTCATCTTCACATGAACTGTAATATCTTTTTTAGAAAATTGATTCTATGCTCTTTTGTGTATGCACAGACTACTTTGTTAAGCCTTTTTCCAAGGAGAACTTGGTGAGAGAACCAGCTTCTCTCCTCTCTGTAATCTGGTCAGAAGTCTTCTGTGCACGTGCTGCGTTGTGAACCCAGCCTATTGAGGAAATTTCTCTACCAGGGTGCTCACTTGCCTAATGGATAGCTTTAGTTGTACTGGAATCCCTGAACTCCAGTGTGGTGTGTGACCTTCCAGGTTGTTTTAAAGCCATTACTTGTGTCTCTTTAGAAGAAATGGAGGCACTCAGGTTGTATTTAGTAACACTTCATCAGGTATTACAGTTGTTATTCTGATCTTTTTTCTTTGCGATGTTCTAATGAAGAGTACTCTATAAATTATTTCTCCTCTTCCCTGATGCACTTAGATTCCACGGAAGATATGTCCACACCAGCAGACTCAGACTCTAGAAAAAAGAATAAGAAGGAAGAGATAAAAATGTGGTTCAGCCCAAGAAGTAGGAAGATTCGATGCATCCTGAACAAGAGTCAGCCTGAGACTAAAAGCCATGACCTTTGTCAAGACACGTCTTCAATTTATGATTTCTTTCCTTCCCCTCCTCATGAAAAGCCCTCCAAGCCAACAGAAAAGCCAACACAGAGACAGAGTAAGAAGATGAAGAAGAAATGTCTAGCAGACATTAACAAAGTGTGGAGCTTAGAGAAGCCTGAGCAACAAGGAGGAGTTGTGGAGAAGACTGATAAGGAAAAGCGTGTGACCATCTGCAGTCAACTGGTAGTCCTGTGCACTCCGGAACCAAATAGCCCTGAAGAGACGCTTCAGGAGTCTATAAAGGAAGCTGCCTCCAGCAAAACTGCAGAAAATGTGGAAATATTGCCCCAGGTAAAATCCTTAGAGAACAAAGGTAACAGTGAGGTTGCGTGTCCTGCGCAAGTCAGCAAGGAAAAAAGTTGTGCTACAGAGACATCACTGTCAATAGAAAATGAAACTACACCTTTAAAACGTGGAAGGGAGCAATCCAGACTTCCAGTTAATTCTCTTTCTAAAAGACCAAGAAGAACTGAGAGGAGTATTATTGGGAAGTCAGGCAGGCAAGCAGATTGCTTAGAGGAGTTACCTCAGGGTTGCCCCATCTCTCCAGCGACTGAACACAAGACACCAGTTCAGATTTCTTCCTCCGTATTGAAAGTCACTGACACTGTAATGAAGACGAGCAGCTCTGCAGTCTTTGAAGCAGTAGATAGTTCTTCACTTTCAAAATCTCCCTCTACACCGTCTACTTCTAAGAGTGGTAATCAAGTAGGAATAACACGCAGTCCTGTGTTGAAGTCCCCTGGTGGTAACACAATTGCCAGACGAAATTACAAAGGAGAGACTTTGCTCCATGTTGCTTCCATCAAGGTAGGACCATCATCTTCTAGTTCAACTTTAAACAGAGGTTTAAAAAGACAATGTTGTATTAAAAATATCCTGGAAACCAGTTACTTCAGTACATCCTGTTTCTGGGGGAGAAATCTCATTTTGTGGTCTTTTTCTTCTAGGTTTATTGTGGAGTTTCCAACCTGATTCTCTGATTTGATAAAGAAATTACTATTGGAATGATCAAAGATGGTTATACTTCAGAAACTCAATGTACTACAGTATCAGTTATACCTATGAGTTCTAGGAAGTGATAAGCATTCAAATGTTTTGGCCTTATGCGCCAGAAAGCTGTCTCTGTGATTTGTGATGAGGAGTTTAGCTAAGTATTTCAGATCTCACCGAGTGATCTTGATCAGTTTAACTTGACTTGGCAACTCAGCCAGGACAAGATCTGAATTACCTACATGAAGATAACTCTGTGCAACCTTAATTAAGGTTAACTGTTTCATAATCTTTGAGATCCTCCACCTGATGCAAGTGTTAGCTCAAGAGGAATGAAATGCCACACCCTGGGATTCCCATGCTGAGCTCTATGCTCTGAGCATGTTGTTCTCACAGATAGTGGAGAAAGGAGAATTAGGACAGAGTTGAGATGTTCTCAGTTGACTTCACTTTCATGTAGGATCAATGTTGTTCTTGGAAAGACAGCTGTCACTTATTTTGCTGTTAATGTCTTAGCCACTTGCTGCTGTGGTAGAACTTCATGGCTTTGCTCTTCGCAAGGGCTGGTCTTCCCTATTATTATGTGAAAGCTGCATGCAGGTAGGGTAAGCTGAATGTTTCCAGTCAAACTCATCAGATGCGCTAATATGGCAGCTGTCTTCTGAGAGGTCATTTCAAAGAGTTTGTAGTGTGGTAACTTAAATGTACTTTGTGCTAAATCATAATGTAGAAATACCGTGTGGTTAATAAACTGCCTATACTGGTTGAATTGATTCACCTGTAAGCATCCTGACATTTATTCAGCACTTCTATTTGTTGAGACAAAGGCTGTTCTTGACAAATAACTGTGCCCTGTTTCAAAGTCATTCTAATAAGCCACTACTGCTGCACGAGACCTTTTTAAATGGAAGCGGCAGCCGAGCTGAGTTGAGTTCAAATATCTTACTTGATGCCGTTGATATGGAATTAGGGAGGAGAAAATGAAACATTGTTCTCACAGGACTCGAGCTTTAAAGGATAGATCTCTTGTCGTAAGTCCTGTACATTCCTCTTTATTAAAGTACTGTTTACAAATTATCCTTCCATGATTTTCTAGGAATTTGTAAGGAATACTGTCATGACTGACTGGTTCTAAAAAAATTGATCTACCTGACAAGTTTTCACACAGCTGTGGTTTCCAGCAATGTCTGGTACTTCTTTGGAACACAAGTATTTAATCTAAGAAAACAGCATCTCTGCTGCTTATTGTGAGACTTGCTATAGACTAAATAAACAAGTTTGGATTATCCAAGTTCAGTGGTGTAGCTGGCACTGCTTGTTGGCATTGGTACGTCCCTCTCTGAGAGAGAGGGCTATTTCAGTGGGCTGAAAAGCTGAACTCCAGCTGTAGTGTAGGCGATGGAGTAGTCGTACACATGAATGCTGTTTTCAGTCCTGTGTGTGAATTCATTTTGGTGTTGTCTTTTAATGTTTATAATTATTGAGTTAAAATGGGAAGTTGCTTCTGTTCCTCATTAGTTCTGCTGTGGTTTTAATCTGTCAATTCCATTTGCGTTGAGGTGCTCATTAGTAAAGGCTTGTTTAACTAGGTAGGGCTTCAGGGTGATCCCAAAGTTACCACTGTTTTTTAAATGTAATTAAAATAAGGCAAGGAGAGTGGTCTTTTGGTTATGGTCGTAGTTCGCTTGCACGTCTTTGTTTCCAGCTACTAAACTTCCAATGCAAGTCTGAGAAAGTTGTTTTACCATCTCTGAACTTCAGTTTCTCATCTGTAGGAGGAGGTTATATAGATTATCTCCTTTTATTTGTAGTGTTTTTTCTTCTTGTTAAATCTTGTTTAATCATGGGTATATTAAGGCATTCCAAAGAAGTTGCTGCATCCCCTGGTAGCCAGTGATTTTAGGCACAGTTTCTAGTCCATGTCAAAGTGGATTATAGAATCATAGAATGGTTAGAGTTGGAAGGGACCTTAAAAATCATCTAGTTCCACCCCCCCCGCCATGGGCAGGGACACCTCCCACTACACCAAGTTGCTCAAAGCCCCATCCAGCCTGGCTGTGAACACCTCCAGGGCTGGAGCTTCCACAGTTTCTCTGGGCAACCTGTGCCAGTGCCTCACCACCCCCACAGAGCATAGTAGAGGGGCAGAATCACCTCCCTTGACCTGCTGGCCGTGCTTCTTCTGATGCAGCCCAGGCCTTCTGTGCTGCGAGCACATGTTGCCAGCTCATGTTGAGCTTCTCATCAACCAACACCCCCAAGTCCTTCTCAAGGCTACTCTTGATCTGTTCTCCACCTAGCCAGTATTTGTGCTTGGGATTGCCCTGACCCACGTGCAGGACCTTATACTTGGCCTTGTTGAACTTCATGAGGTTTGCACAGGCCCACTTCTCCAGCCTGTCCAGGTTCCTCTGGATGGCATCCCTTCACTCCAGTGTGTTGACTGCACCACACAGCTTGGTGTTCTTGGCAAACTTGCGGAGCGTGCACTCAATCCCACTGTCCATGTCACCAACAGAGATGTTAAACAGCACTGGTCCCAGCACCGACGCCTGAGGAACACCACTCATCACTGGTTGCCACTTGGACATTGAGCCATTGACCACAACTCTCTGAGTGTGGCCATCCAGACAGTACCTTATCCACCAAGTAGTCTTTTGGTCAAATCCATGTGTCTCCAATTTATAGAGAAGGATATTGTGTGGGACACTGTCAAATGTATTGCACAAGTCCAGGTAGATTATATCAGTTGCTCTTCCCTAATCCACCAACTGTAACGCTGTCGTAGAAAGCCACCAAGTTTGTCAGGCGTGATTTGCCCTTAGTGAAGCCATGTTGCCTGTCACTAATCACCTCCTTATTTTCCGTGTGCCTTAGCATGGTTTCCAGGAGGATCTGCTTCATGATCTTGCCAGGTACAGAAGTGAGACTGACCAGCCTGTAGTTCTGTGTGTCTTCCTTTTTTCCCTTTTTAAAAATGGGGGTTATGTTTCCCCTTTTCCAGTTGGTGGGAACTTTACCGAACTGCCACGACTTCTCAAATATGGATAGTGGCTTGGCAACTACATCCATTGGTTCCCTCTGGACCCGGGGATGAATCTCACCAGGTTTATCGGACTTCTACCTCTTCAGGTTCTTTAGATGGTCTTGGACCTGATCTTCTCCTACAGCGAGCGTTTCTTCATTCTCCCAGTCCCTGCCTTTGCCTTCTGCAACTTGGGCAGTGTGCCTAGCCCTTGCAGGTAAAGATCGAGGCAAAAAAGTCTTTGAATACCTCAGCCTTGTGACCAGGTCTCCCATTTCTTCTGGAGAGGGCCCACATTTTCCCTGGTCTTCCTTTTGTCACTGTTATACCTATAGAAGCGTTTCTTGTTGCCTTTAACATCCCTCGCCAGATTTAATTCTATTTGGGCTCTAGCTTTCCTAACCTGATCCCTGGCTGCTCAGACAATTTCTATGTATACCTCCCAGACTACCTGTCCTTACTTCCACCCTCTGTAGGCTTCCTTTTTGAGTTTGAGATAGTCCAGGAGCTCCTCGTTCATCCATGCAGGCCTCCTGGTGTTTTTGCCTGACTTTCTCTTTGTTGAGATGCATCACTCCTGTGCTTGGAAGAGGTGATTCTTGAATATTAACCAGCTTTCTTGGGCCCCTCTTCCCTCCAGGGCTTTATCCCATGGTACTCTGCCAAGCAGAGGCCAAAATGTGCTCTTCTGAAGTCCAGGGTAGTGAGCTTACTGCGCGCCTTCCTTACTGCCCTAAGGATCTTGAACTCCATCTCATAAAGACTAAGTTGTTCAAGCCAGCATGATGTGAGGACTTGGTCTTTCTAAAGAACTGTTGGTCATGGGCTTTGGTAACATTTTACTTTGTGAAGCAGTGAATGAGAAATAGTAGTGATTAATTGCTATGAATCTGCGGGGGATGTGTGGCAATTTCAAGAAAACATTTTTTTGCGTGCAGGTATCTTTCCTATAGCCTGTATGTTTCTAGATCACTCTTCTAAGTTGTAGGAGCCCTGCTATGGAACTGATATATGTGTTTTCTCAAAGAAACTGATCTTGAAAATACTAGGCTTTATTCTGTATGTATATTCTCATTGTGTTGTGGGTTTGTGTTTGGTTTTGTTTTTTTTTTTTTTTTTTTTTTTTTTTTTTTTTTTTTTTTTTTTCAAAATAGCCCTGTCATTTTCCCTGTTTCTGGAAGAAGTATTTCTCTTCCAGTTTTGTATTATAGGTGATTTTTTTTCTTGTTCTTTCCACAGCTAGTTATGTTTTTCCATGTGTGTAATGGGAAACAGACTTGTAGCTGCCACCCTCCCTGCTCCAAGTGAAATAAAGTCTAATTCTCTGGGACTTCATTAATTATAAAAATAAATCTGTATTATTTTCATTAGCTGTTAGGGTCTAATACCCTGAATTTAATTAAAGCTAATTGAGTTCTCCCTTTTTTTCTTATTTAAAAGATATAATAAACAACATTATCAGGCATTAAAATTAAGTGTATTGTGCTGTTTCAAATGATTCTGAGGAATTGTCCCCATTTAAAACTACTAGTTATTAACTTACTGAAATCAAAAAAGGTTCTAGTGTGGATGAACTTAATGCTGATTTAAACTAATAAATTAAAATAAATGTGACTCTTCCCATAACAAAGAGCAGTCATGTTTATCTTCCTCCATAGCCATTAAAGGTAAAACTTCCAATTAGTTAAAATACAAAACGTGACCTGCTGCACTCCTAGTATTTTAAACTGGTGGGATATTGCCCAATCAACAGCGTTTCCACATAGGATTTTTTTTTACAGTAAAATGACAA